ACACTGAACGAGCACCAGAGAGACATCACCCTCAACAACACACAGTAGCTCATTACACAATTTCAGTCAGAGAGAGAGAGTGAGAGATGAGTGAGAGAGAGAGAAAGCGAGAGGCATATTGATAGAGCACCAGAAACAGAGGCAGAGTGAGAGACATTCAAGGAGGCGAGAGATGAAAAGCCCTTGTTCAGCATTACAAAGCCTCTGTTTCCTCTTGACCATGAGGATAGGAGACCTATTAATAAAGATATCGGGCTTACAGAGTGTGTTTGTTCAGGAATGAGGAGTCTGGAGTCCCAGTAAAGGCAGAATGGTGAGAGAAGGAGAGGAGGATTGGTCCCAGTGGTTAGAGAGAGAGATAGCTAGGTCCATGGGGAAAGAGAATATCCCAGACAGTCCCAGAGTGGGGTCCGGTCCTAAACGGAGAGGAGAGATGGTCTGTACATCCAGCTGGAAAATCCAGCTTCCACACTGCTGCTATGAAAAAATTGAGAGAGAGAAAGACTCAGGGAGAGACCCAGAAAGAGTTTGTTTATGGTTCGATTGCCTAGTATTGTATTGTAAGTGTGAGGTAATATCACTAGATTGGTGATGTATTTCAGATAACATGAGGTCATGAATGGTCCCGTGTAGCTCAGTTGGTAGAGCATGGCGTTTGCAATGCCAGGGTTGTGGGTTCGATTCACACAGGGGGCCAGTATGAAAAATAAATAAAAATAGCCACTTATGAGAAGAGGCAAGAGCGATCGATGGGGAGCTTTTGATAAGCCGAACATTATTGTTAATTGTTGTTTATATCACATATTATTATTACTATCACATTTGTCATCAAGCATCATGAAAAAATAAAAACATGTATCCACTCACTAACTGTAAGTCGCTCTGGATAAGAGCGTCTGCTAAATGACTAAAATGTAAATGTAAAATGAAAGGGACAAAAAACACAGAGCTCTGATGTTATATATATATATGTGCTGCCCCCTTGTGGACCAATATTGAACTTTATATTTGAAATGTAGAGACTAAAGTGCCTCTGAACACTTTCCTGGGGACCCTAATGCTCTTTAAGATTCAGATCTCGTGTACTCGTTTCTAGAATAGAGTGAATGCTTTGGTCCTGACCTAGATATTGGCAACAACACAGATGTCATTGAGGCCTTTGGCTTTCTCTGTGATTCTCAGGGCTGATTAAAGCCTTACTGTCATTAATCTTCTCAAAGGCCAACAGCACCAGAGTGGGCCAATAACCAGACCCATACACCAATTAGTCCAATGTGATTAATTCATGCTAAACGCGTGACACAAAGCGAAATGGCCACACAGCTGGGCTCAGGGTTACCATAGACATTTCTTCTAAGATGTGATTTGGCTGAATCAAGCATTCAAAGGTGTATTGTTTCAATCCAGCTGTGAAGAAATTGTAAGGAATGGCTGTAAGGTTCAAAATAGAGCAGTGTGGGAAGTAAGAAAGGTCATTGGAGTCCATCAGAGAACTACTAAGCTTTCTGGAGCAGTCGCAAGGCATATCCACTTGTTGGCCCTCACACTAAGCACTAAAATCGTACATATATTCCCACAAAATACTTAATTTTCTCATACAGAATTATGAAAATAAGACAACTAATGATCAATGACTAATGACAATGTGTCCTGTACTAACCTGTGCTTTATTTGCTGCGGTGCTGCTGCTGCTGCTGCTGCTGACGGTGGGGTGATGGAGAGGCTGGGTAGCGGTGGTGGTGAGGGCTAGACACCCCTCCACCCCCACGGATAGAACCTCCACGGATGGAATGACCCGTTGAGGGAGAGGATGTGGAGTGCTGCTGATGTCCTGCACGGATCGGCTTAGCTACAGAGAGCGAAGGGGGGAGACAGGGAATATACACTGATATGAAACTTTTCATACATTTTCCTATACAACACAAACAGATATATTAATACAGAGATATGTCAGCTATATTTAAGTTAATTGGAAATCATTTATCACTGGATACAGTATGAAACATGAAGCTCCCTGAGACACATGTAGGGGGCAACTTCTCCCAACATTCTCTACTGTGTACCACTGTCTCTCACCTATTTGTGCAGAGTGCCCCCTCCTGGAGGCATTCTTGGAGAGCACAGCCTCTTTGATGCGGTCCACCTCCTGCTGGTAGCGTTTGCGGTCCCTCATGGCACTCTCTTTGGCCTCCCTCAGGGCCGCCTCCAGGGCCTTGACCCTCTCAGCAGTTGCCCGCAGACGCTTCTCCAGCTTGGGCAGCTCACAGCGCAGGTCGGCGTTATCACGCACCAACTGGAGAGGAGAGACGGGAAAGAGGAGGATATGAAGTTACAGTGTGTGTGTGTAAGCGTGTGCGCGTGTGTGCATGCGTGTACGTATGTGCGAATGCGTGTGTCGTACCTGTTTGTGGACCTTGGTGAGCTGCTCCAGGTTGTTCTCCAGGAAGGTGATCCTCTGTCTCTGAGCCAGGCTGCCACCAGCCTCATCATTATCCATCTCTGCACTCTGATTGGATAGAAACATGGAAGTGACATCTTACATAGGGCTGTGGTGGTCACAAAATTGTGTCAGATGGTAAGTGTCATGCAAATGACTGCCGGTCTCAAGGTAATTGACCTCTAATTAACATAAACATGTTTAGCATCTCCGGGCTTCAACGCATACAATCTGCTGATGCGCGTCTTTGGAGTATGTAAAAGCTTAATAAATGTATTTAATATCTTAATATAGCCTACACCATCACAATAAAATCCATTCTTTATTTAGTTGTGATAGGCCTATAAATCTGGGAATGTCTTAGAAATGAAAACATATGGGCTGCATGATGCGACTCTAAATTGATGACTTGGAGAAAGTGGCAAAAAAGGCATGTGCTCTGATCCTCTCTCTCTCTCTCTCTCTCTCTCTCTCTCTCTCTCTCTCTCTCTCTCTCTCTCTCTCTCTCTCTCTCTCTCTCTCTCACTCACTCACTCACTCACTCACTCACTCACTCACTCACTCACTCACTCACTCACTCACTCACTCACTCACTCACTCACTCATAACAAAACAATTGCCTTTTCTGCTGCTTCCCTCACTCGGATTGGACCGGTTGTCCTTTAGGGCCTTTCAGACCAGGTTTTACAATTATATTTATGCATATTGGGTCCGGGTCCATTTCTAACTCCCATCACCATTTCTCCTCATTATTTCCATTACTCAAATTAAATCATGATGTGTTTAGCGAATGATTAGAGGGACAATAGAGTGCCGAGTACCAGGCCATTAGCGAGGGCCATTAGCAAGTTTGGTAGGCTACCCATCAGCGCCATTCATTTGCACAGTTTTGGATGGGATTACCGTGACCAGTACCACAACTGATGACATTTACAGTATACAGTGAGGGAAAAAAGTATTTGATCCCCTGCTGATTTAGTAAGTTTGCCCACTGACAAAGAAATGATCAGTCTATAATTTTTATGGTAGGTTTATTTGAACAGTGAGACAGAATAACAACAAAAAAATCCAGAAAAACGCATGTCAAAAATGTTATGAATTGATTTGCATTTTAATGAGGGAAATAAGTATTTGACCCCTCTGCAAACATGACTTAGTACTTGGTGGCAAAACCCTTGTTGGCAATCACAGAGGTCAGACTTCTTGTAGTTGGCCACCAGGTTTGCACACATCTCAGGAGGGATTTTGTCCTACTCCTCTTTGCAGATCTTCTCCAAGTCATTAAGGTTTCGAGGCAATTTGAACCTTCAGCTCCCTCCACAGATTTTCTATGGGATTAAGGTCTGGAGACTGGCTAGGCCACTCCAGGACCTTAATGTGCCTCTTCTTGAGCCACTCCTTTGTTGCCTTGGCCGTGTGTTTTGGGTCATTGTCATGCTGGAATACCCATCCACGACCCACTTTCAATGCCTTGTTATTCTGTCTCTCACTGTTCAAATAAACCTACCTATAGACTGATCATTTCTTTGTCAGTGGGCAAACGTACAAAATCAGCAGGGGATCAAATACTTTTTTCCCTCACTGTATGGTACATAGCATGGGAAAGTGATTCCTAAAGTCGACTTGTTTTGTTGTTTGCCTTCACCTTCTGGCCTTAGTTACCAATAACACTTCACCAAACAATGGCAACAGCCTTGTTAGTTGTTAGCAAAAAGGTGGATGTTAAGGCATACAGTAAGCCCACAAATGCATACAGTAAGCCCACTTACCATGCTGACGCGGGAGGTGAGCTCTTGGATGAAGAGCCTGCGCAGGTTGTGCAGGGTCTGAAGCTCCTTGGCCTGGTGGAATGGATACATCTCATCGTCAATGAGTTCAACATCAATCAAAACCTGAGATGCTCTGTAACCTTCAGGCTCTGATCAGACCCTACACCCAAACGAGGGCACTATGTTCATCCACCTCTGGCCTGCTAGCCCCCCTACCTCTACGGAAGCACAGTTCCCGCTCAGCCCAGTCAAAGCTATTCGCTGCTCTGGCACCCCAATGGTGGAACAAGCTCCCCCACGACGCCAGGACAGCGGAGTCACTGACCACCTTCCGGAGACACTTGAAACCCTACCTCTTTAAGGAATACCTGGAATAGTATAAAAGTAATCCTTCTTCCCCCACCCCCCATAAAAAAAGAAATAAAAAAAAGTGGTTGTCCCACTTGCTATCATAAGTTGAATGCACCAATTTGTAAGTCGCTCTGGATAAGACCGTCTGCTAAATGTAAATGTAAAATGTACATAATAATAACTCCATCCACTCACCACAGTTTCTTCCAGCCCCTTCAGGTCCTCCTTGGCCTGCTCTCTCTTCTCATTCATGAAGCTACAGCAGAGAGACAGAGTGGACACATAGTGTTCAGGGCTTGACCATTAATTTCATGTTACAACCATGTTATGACCATGTTACGACCATGTTATGACCATGTTATCACCATTTTATAACCATGTTATACACATGTCTGAGGAGAACAGAACAGAGCTGTGGTAGATAGTGTAATAGGCCAACAGACTTACACAAGCTTCTGCAGCTTCTCGTCCTTCTCCAGCTCCTCGGCTTTCAGTTTGTCATAGTCTGACTGCAGCTTCCTCTGTTCCAGCTGCAGCCCCTGGTTCAGACTAGAGGGAGACCACAGTGGTCACTATTCAGTATAGTAGAAACCAATGGTACACTCTACATACTCTCATTATCTCATGGGACTATGTTAACTACCTGAAATGGGACTTTAAAAATACCTGTAACTTAAATAAATAAAAATGATCTTACTCCTTGAGCTCGTCCAGGACCCTCTGCTTGTGGTCGATCTCATCCCGCAGGCGAGACAGCTGCTTCTGATGGACCTCTCTGTGGTTCTCCATCTGCTCCTCTAGGGTCTTCTACAGAGTGCAGAGGGGAACATAGGGTCAAGGGTCAAAGTTAAAGTTGATTTGATTTATCTTTCACAGGAACTTGAAAGAAAGTGGGGGGGAAAGCAAGGGGGTGCACAGAACATGGGAGGGATGAGAGAGGGAGGATGAGAGAAATTGAGAGATCTTTACCTTCATCTCCACTGCATCCTGCAGTTTGGTCAGGTGCTCCTTCTGCTTATCCATCACATGCACCTCTTTCATTTTCTCTGTGAAGACAAAACAAGAGAAATTGTTTTTTTCATGTGATGGAATGATTGATGACAGGCATGTTTGTGTTGGTGTCTCTGTGTGTCTCACCCTGTGCATGTAGTGAGTGTAGCTCTTCCATCAGTGAGTCCTGGCTCTCCTCTAGCTGTCTCTTCTTCTGCTCGATGTTCTGCATGTAGTCTGTCAGAGACTTGATCTTAGCCTGGTGCTGCATGGAGAACCCACACCATCAGGCAGGGACGGGGTTAATAACAGGGGAAAATAATACTGTCTCTAACCAGGCTTCCATCCAATCTTTTTATGAGAGTAAAGTACATGTAAAATAAAAAATGTAATGACAGGCATGATGGAAACAGAACTGTTTTCGGTAAACTTTCCAAATGTTGACAAAACAAAATACGCTAGACAAGGTGAGATATTTCTGTGTCGATAAAATGAATTATTGTCGGTGAAAATGTTGGTGGAAACGCTTTTAATGTGCAAATATTGATATACTGTAATAACCATCATATCAAAGTTAACTTAGAGTCGCGATGACATGTTGTGTCGTCCTCCCACTACAACTTGTCAGGAAAGCATGCCGTTTATTAGGCTACAGATGAAATAAATTATTAATTTCACAGGGTGGTGAAAGTGCAAGGTGATGAGCTTGATGCTCCTTTCCAATAAATATCGAGGGTCTTATTCTGGTGACATGATAATTAATGCTTGGCTACCGTTTGACAAATAAAAAGCATCTTGCTCTTTTGTCCATAATAATAATCTTATCATGTAGGCTATATATGTGCTCTAGATAGCGCTGTTGGCTAAAGTGCACATGCCAATACCAGAGTGGGCACGTTCGCTATATAACGCAATATCTTTTGTGAGAAAACCATCAGTAGAGTTGAAAATGTGATGGAAACCCATTTAACTTGTAGTTTTTTATTCAGTACATGTGAATTGAACCACAAAAGGTATTTTATGTGTACTACGTCATCACGCACAGCCTTTTATCTGCAACAAGTCAATTTGATGGAAACACATCTCTGGTGGGAAAATGCACATATTGTTTTTATGCAGATTTTAGAATATTCACATCAAAATCTGTCGCCAATTGGATGGAAACCTAGCTACTACCTCACTTACCAACCAAGCTGCATGAACAGAATAGTAAACTGAAGAAAGGAAAATATTGAACAACTCTTGAAGGACAATGAGAGTGGACTTTTTTTTCTAGATATAGAAAATTATGTTAAATCCACTTCCTGGTTACCTGGGAGATCAGTAACTGACAGGAGGCCAGCTCCTTCTCATTGGCCTGCATCTTGCGGGAGGTGTCGACAAGGGAGCTCTCCAGCTGTTTGCTGCGGTTCACCAGAGACTTGACCTCCGACTTCATCTTACTGATGTAAAGACGGGCCATGGTGAACTCCTCCTCAATGACCTCATTCACCTCCATCATCTGAGGAGCAGAGAGAGATCAGGACTGAGTGAGAGAGTGTGTGTGTGTGCGTGTATGGAATATGTGCTTGTATGGAAAACTGTTTGTAACAGGTAGTGTGTCTCAATGACAGAGTGTGTATATGTGTGTAAGTGCATAATTGTGTAATATTTTTTTAGAATGTGTGTCCTTACAGCCTTGAGGTCACTGGTGCCGATGATGCCTCCTATGTCACTGAGGTCTCGGAGCAGTAGACTGAGGATCTCTGCTGCTCTCTTCTTATGGTGACTGCTGAGCTCCTGTAGACTGGACAGCTCCCTCTGCACCCCCTCCAGAGTGGTCTGAAACGGACCCACATTTTACAATCACAGAATATGTTTTGAATGGGGCAGAGGAATGCTAGAGAAATGGTCTGCGTTTCATTCCAGGAATGTTCCCTTCCCCCTGCCCTTGTTCACTCCCCTTCACAGATCTGAGACAACTGAGTTGGTGAAAGCAATAGGTCCTGAGTTGTACATATCCAGTCCTTTGAGATCTGTAGCAACGCGCATGCCCTGCCCACCTGAGGAGCTGTCTTTTTCAGCCACCTATTTCCTGTGTTTCCTGTGTCACTTAAATCTCGCTGGATTGATTGCTTTCATTTTACTCCTGCCACTCTTTCATACTTTTTCTTGTGCGTGTCGTTTTTCCCTACATTCTAAGAAAATGTTGACAATAAATGTAATACCTGAACTTCATTCATTATTTGTCCATGCCAGTGAAATGTTTTATGTGCTATAATTTCAGTCAATATCTGATTTATTTAAAAAATGGCCATGGCTACAGATACAAAGTTGTATTGTAGTTCCTAAAAAAAGTGTATGTGTGGGGCTTTAGCTGAGAGTCAAGTATATTTGTCCAGGCCTGAATTATTCCTTGACTAGCACCATTCATTCTCACTTTCGATAATTCTAATGTTATAACTTCTAATAGTGACTGTATCCACTGGTTAAATGGGAGAGAGTGAGGTGGTTGCCATCTTAGAGCCAACATTTTCTTCACAGCAGTGCTGCCTGCCAGCAGTAATCTTCTCTGATTGATTGAGAGATTCAAGGGCTATCATCGTTAAGTTACATAATAAATGCAAAGCATTGAATATTTATATTCATGCACTTCAAAATTAATTTTGTAACTTTGCCCCAGAAGCATTTAACTGCAGGGCACTCCCACATCTTATGAAGGAATGTGCCTACCTGATTTACAGTGAGGGAAAAAATTATTTGATCCCCTGCTGATTTTGTACGTTTGCCCACTGACAAAGACATGATCAGTCTATCATTTTAATGGTAGGTTTATTTGAACAGTGAGAGACAGAATAACAACAAAAAAATCCAGAAAAACGCATGTCAAAAATGTTATAAATTGATTTGCTTTTTAATGAGGGAAATAAGTATTTGACCCCTCTGCAAAACATGACTTAGTACTTGGTGGCAAAACCCTTGTTGGCAATCACAGAGGTCAGACATTTCTTGTAGTTGGCCACAGGTTTGCACACATCTCAGGAGGGATTTTGTCCCACTCCTCTTTGTAGATCTTCTCCAAGTCATTAAGGTTTCGAGGCTGATGTTTGGCAACTCGAACCTTCAGCTCCCTCCACAGATTTTCTATGGGATTAAGGTCTGGAGACTGGCTAGGCCACTCCAGGACCTTAATGTGCTTCTTCTTGAGCTACTCTTTTGTGGCCTTGGCCATGTGTTTTGGGTCATTGTCAGGCTGGAATACCCATCCACGACCCATTTTCAATGCCCTGGCTGAGGGAAGTAGGTTCTCACCCAAGATTTGATGGTACATGGCCCCATCCATCGTCCCTTTGATGCGGTGAAGTTGTCCTGTCCCCTTAGCAGAAAAACACCACCAAAGCATTATGTTTCCACCTCCATGTTTGACGGTGGGGATGGTGTTCTTGGGGTCATAGGCAGCATTCCTCCTCCTCCAAATACGGTGAGTTGAGTTGATGCCAAAGAGCTCATTCAGATGTTCATTGGCAAAATTCAGACGGGCCTGTATATGTGCTTTCTTGAGCAGGGGGACCTTGCGGGTGCTGCAGGATTTCAGTCCTTCATGGCGTAGTGTGTTTCCAATTGTTTTCTTGGTGACTATGGTCTCAGCTGCCTTGAGATCATTGACAAGATCCTCCCGTGTAGTTCTGGGCTGATTCCTCACCGTTCTCATGATCATTGCAACTCCACGAGGTGAGATCTTGCATGGTGCCCCAGGCTGAGGGAGATTGACATTTATTTTGTGTTTCTTCCATTTGCGAATAATCGCACCAACTGTTGTCACCTTCTCACCAAGCTGCTTGGCAATGGTCTTGTAGCCCATTCCAGCCGTGTAGGTCTACAATCTTGTCCCTGACATCCTTGGAGAGCTCTTTGGTCTTGGCCATGGTGGAGAGTTTAGAATCTGATTGATTGATTGCTTCTGTGGACAGGTGTCTTTTATACAGGGAACAAGCTGAGATTAGGAGCTCTCCCTTTAAGAGTGTGCTCCTAATCTCAGTTCGTTACCTGTATAAAAGACACCTGGGAGCCAAAAATCTTTCTGATTGAGAGGGAGTCAAATACTTATTTCCCTCATTAAAATGCAAAACAATTTATAACCTTTTTGACATGCGTTTTTCTGGATTTTGTTGTTGTTATTCTATCTCTCACTGTTCAAATAAACCTACCATTAAAATTATAAACTTATAATTTCTTTGTCAGTGGGCAAACGTACAAAATCAGCAGGGGATCAAATACTTTTTTCCCTCACTGTATGAAAGAGGCATATAAAGCATGTGATTTAATGAGCGCACGATGGCAAGGAAATATAAGTAATAAGGAGAAAAAGTCAGCTAACGAAGTTAAGTAACTGAATGGGACATCTTATGAACAAAGAGCAGAAAGTAATTTGAATCTAAAGGGTGCATAATAAGTTATAGAAATGGATATGATAATTTGATATAAGTTTGGATAAGAAGTTACGATATATAACAGAATTAAGTCATAGAATATCAAGGAGTGGTGTGGAGATTGTGAGGTTATTTTAGAGAGTAGTGGACAAGTCTGTATTTTCTGGGACAGACAGGGTAGTGTCCTGGAAATTACAGTCAGTTTTTGTTTTGGTTCCGCTGGGAGTATATTTGAAGAAGTGATTTGTGTTGATTGAGAATTGGTTAAAAAAAACACGAAGGGATTCTTTGATGTGAGTACATAGAAGTTTCTAACGTTATATATAGAGTTTGTGACGATGTGGAAATAGGATGAAGTTTGTGAGTAATGGTTTACTAGATAAATGAGAAAATCATAATTAAGAGTGCTATGTATGTATTAACTTGCTCACCCAAACGTAGACGTACGTCATGGGTGGGGAAATAATGAATACTGGTTTTCTAAGTTGTACCGTTGTTAGATCCTTTGATAGAAATTAGATTTAAGAAATTAACTGCCCATAAAGTTGGAATTCATAGACCTAACTTATAATATTGTACAAAGCCAATTTAGGGTTTCCATTAAACTAATTATCATTGCGGAGCTAAGGTGGTGAAGTGAAGGAACTTCATTTCGTATCAGATGGTAAGACGACAAACCATTGTAATTGCGCTATTTGTGGGATGTCTGTGTCAGTTCAATAGCATTGGGGCAATGGCATAGAGGAAACAAATCTGGGTTTCTGAGTGTAATTCAACTGCTGGTATGTGTTGATTGAACGGATACTACAGAGTATTTGGTTTGGTGATGTAGAATGGAAGATTTGAAGCGTGCATGGTAAGACTCACTTATTTAACAGGAATAGCGAGACGATTTCGTGGTAGTCATTTTTTTGCGTTGCCTAAGGGTTTGCTAGATTAAACGATTGAGAATGGTGGTGTAATGTCAATCCATAAATGGGATATTGATACTATGGATATAAATTAAATATATGCTGGTCAACTACAGCAAGTCTTTGGTGTTACTTGTAGCCTACTTAGAAAGGACAGTTACCTAGATCTGATGTATTCTAATAATGCCGGATCGGTGGTTTCATAAGAGCTGTGGCTATGATCTTAGTTGAAAACAGGATGTAGTTTACGACGCACAGTGAAGCGAATGTCTTATCTTCATGGGAAGTGAAGCAAGGGTACTCAGAGAATAAAAGGGATATTAAACAAACACTAGGGATAATGAAGCAGTGTTGGTAGGAAGCAGAGTATGAACGATAACATTGACTGAGGAATATAGGAACTTTTGGTTGAGGTCACTAAAGAAGTGTTACTGACACAATATCGTAACAGATAAACTGAACCAAACATGAAGTTACTACAGCAATTTAGGATTGTTAATGTTGTTAAGTTAGTTTTTAAACCCTACGATAGAGGTAAATGCAGAACGCTGTTTGAGAATGTGTTTTATTTGGTCTACTAGTAAAAAATGGAAGAGTTTCCATGTTTTTGTCTGCGGGTGTTGGCCATTGGGGCTCGCGGAAACGTGAGAGAGCTGTAAGGGACATTATGGGTTACGTTTGGTGTACAAGGATCAATGGTTGCTGAGGAGAAGGAAGTCAAAGGGGGTTGAATGTTACCGGTGTGAAAGGGCTAGCTAGTTAGTGGTGCGAACTAGTGGCGTTTAGAGTGGTGACGTAACTTGCTCTGCAATGTGGAAGTAGTTGTTTAACTTGCTTTGGAGCGAAGGGTAACGGTGTTTCGAGGGTGAATGTTGTCGATGTGTGTAGAGTGTCCCTGGTTCAAGCCCATGTAGGGAAGGAAGCAAAACTCTTACATTGATGATGTTGACGTGAATTAATGGTTTAATTGATAGAATTATATGAATGAGATTGGCTTACCAACCCATAGCGGATAGTATAACATAGTAATTAAAGTTGCATCTCTGTGAATAGATGTTTTGTTTGTTTTGACTACAACTTCAAAATAATTTGTCATCTGTTAAAGTACCGTTAGATGGAAAGTCAGCGATAGAGAATAATAGATATTGTTGAGGGTTTTCTATGTTAGACGGATAAGTAGGTTAATTGGGTGATGAGAAATGTTGAATTGGATTGTTTGAAGAAGGATAAGTAGAGTCATTGGGAGATCTGAAATGTTGAATTGGATTGTTTACTAGACTGGTATTAAAATAAATCTTTCTATTTAGGTGAATGAAAATATGTTATTAGGTAGTAGTGGTTTGTGGATACAATTTACTAATGCCATGATTTAGTATGAGGGTAAGGTGGAGCTCATGTCTAAATAGTTGAATATAGAACATTCTTTGGCAATTTTTAATTATTATTATTTAATTCTATAGTTTGTTTAAACAACAGTGAGTTATGTGGACAGTTCATTAAT